GTTCCTAAAACAAAAAACTTCTTAAAAAAAAAAAAAAAAAAAAAAAAGGGAAAATGGAGGCTCTATTATTGGATCAGGATCCAAAGGCAGGCCTCAGGGCTATGCCAGCCATTCGAGCCATGCCATGCCACGCCATTCCACGCCACGCCACCTTCCACTGCAGGGCGCCTCCCACACCCTGCACCTGTACTGGTCCAGGGGAGGGACAGCACCTCTAGTGTAACAGCAAGGCTTTGAGAGAAATGTAAACCATGAGATAAATACATCACCCGGGTAAGGGGAAAGACCTAAGTGCCAGTTAATACGCGCTATCGCGGCTATCGGTTATCTACATTGAGATAAACAGGGAAAGCCAGAGAAAGACATGGCCTGCAAAAGAAGGTGTGATACAGGGTAAAACACACACTCCCCCAGTGAATTAAGTATTTAACTTTCCAAGAAGCTAACAGATTTTAATAAAAAAAAAAAAAAAAAAGTTTTTGAGTAGTCTTTCAGTTCTTTAAGATCTCCTACTTAAAAAAAAAAAAAAAAAAAAAAATCCCCGCTTCAAAATATTTCAAACTAGGGAACCAGCAGTTAGCGTAATGGCTATGTCGCTGGACTCCCACGTAGTCGACCACGGTTCGTGTCCCGGACCCGGTGGCTTAGAACTCACGCCAGGCGCGTGTGCATGCGTGCCCAAGATCCCAAGAGGAGAATGGAGGAGAAGGGATTGCGGCGTGACCATCCCCCCTGGGGGGTGATTTCTCGCTTTCTGTCTCTATGTCTCTCTCTGTCTGTCTGGCGAGCACACGTGCCCTACAGTGAAAATCTCTCAAAAAAATATTTCAAACTTGAGGGGTTTTAAAAATCAGTCACTAGTTGGGACCAGCAGGTGGCGTGGTGGTTAAGGCGCTGGACAGTCCCTCATGGCCGACCACGGTTTGAGAGCTAGACCTGGTGGCTTGCTTCCTCACTTTTCCCTCTCTCTCTCTCTGGTCAAATTAAAATGAAGGAATGAATGAATGAAAAAATAAACAAATCTTTTTTTAAAAATCAGTCACTATAAGTGAAATACAGACTGCTTTTTAAAAAGTACACATGCATGGATACACATATCCCAATGTGGACACTTACCGACTTTGTGTGATCTGGCCGTGGGGCAATAACAGGAGGAGGAGCCTCTTCGTCATCATCATCCTCCTCTGCTACTGCTGCTGATGTTTCCGATCCCTTGGTACTGAGCTGCATTTGTCATGGACAAAGCAGGGAAGATGAGTCAAATCAAATAGGTCAAATGTGGTTCTCTTTTTAACATAGTTGGAAAAGTTTATTTCTTCAGTAACTCACTTCGAAATGATTAAACTTAACTGGTTCTGATATAATCATTTAAAAAATGAGGTGATTCTATCAGTTATGGAAAAGTGTATGAAATAAACGTATATGGTGAATATTGAATAGTCTTCTTTTTTTGAGAGAGATTTTTGCTATAGGGTGCCTGTGCTTGCTGGAGAGACAGAGAGAGACATAAAGAGAGAAATCATCCCCCAGGGGAGATGGTCACACCGCAATACCTTTTCCTCCATTCTCCTCTTGGGATTATGGGCATGCATGTACATGTGCCTGGCATGAGTTTTGAGTTGTTGAGTCCAGGACTCGAATCGTAGCCATGTGGGAGTCCAGCAACATAACTACTGCAGCATCTGCCAGTCCCGAATGTCAAATATTCTTTTTTTTAAAGAATTATTTACTTATTTAATTTCATTTGTTGTTATTTTTTAACTTGACCAGAGACAGAGAAAGAGAAAGCAAAAAAGCAAGCCACCAGGTCTGGGACTTGAATCATGGTCGGTCATGTGGGGAATCCAGCACATTTAACCACCACACCTGCTGGCCCCAAACACCAAATATTCTTAATAAGAAAGTGTTATTTTATTTTTTTTTTTGAGAGATTTTCACTGTAGGGCGCGTGCGCTCACCAGACAGACAGAGAGAGACATAGAGACAGAAAGCGAGAAATCACCCCCCAGGGGGGATGGTCATGCCACAATCCCCTCTCCTCCATTCTCCTCTCGGGATCTTGGGCACGCACACACACGCGCCCGGCATGAGTTTTTTAAGCCACCGGGTCCGGGACACGAACCGCGGTCGACTACGTGGGAATCTAGTGACATAGCCATTACGCTAACTGCTGGTTCCCAGAAAGTGTTATTTTTACCTATTTAAGCACACATACTTTCTGGGTTGTTGCAAAAGTGACGAAGCATTTTTACACAGAAAAACACAAAAAAATATGTTATAGGGACCAGCAGGTGGTGTGGTGGTTAAGGCATTGGACACTCCCACATGGCTGACCACATTTCGAGTCCCACACCTGGTGGCTTGCTTTTCCACTTTCTCTCTCTCTCTTTGTGTCTCTCTCTGGTCAAATTTAAACGAAATGAATAAATAAAATTAATTAATTCTTATAAAAACACATTATGACTTTTCCAACAACCCAGTACAATGTCCTAAAAGTAAAGATTTAACTTATTTGTTAAAAGCAAAGCTAAGATTCTGAATTAGTTATTTGGGGACATTTAAAATAGCCAATTCACCCCAAAAGTGGTGGCTACCAAAGCAAAAGGAGAAAGAATGAACCTTTGTACGGACATAGGAGAGGTATGTACACAGGGAGGTACTTTACTTACTCTCTCATGTAGTCCTTCTACACTCCGCGGAATTGTTTCCTCCCAACTTTAGAACTGAAATTGAAACAGTGACTATTTCTTTCTTTCTTTTTAAATATTTATTTAATTTTATTTATTCATTTGTTTATTTTAATTTGACCAGAGAGAGATACACAAAGAGAGAGAGAGGGAAAGTGAGAAGGCAAGCCACCACGTCCGGTATTTGAATCACAGCCAGCCATGTGGGAGTGTCCAGCGCTTTAACCACCACGCCACCTGCTGGTCCCCATACAGTGACTATTTCTAGCAGGTAACTGTTTTCGTATGACTCTGAAGACTGACAAGTTTCAATTGTCTCCAGTCTACAGTCACTACACTGACACCAGAAGGATTTATTTTGGACTGGAGGGAGGGAAGAGTGTAGGAATATACTAGCCAGCTCTTGCATTCATGTTTCTATACTGAAACATTACCAAAAGTTGCTAAACTGCTCTGAAGGTCATTACAAATTGTAGTGACTTGGGACCAGCAGATGGTGTAATGGTTAAGTCGCTGGACTCCCATGTAGTCTGACCGTGGTTTGAGTCCTAGACCCAGTGGTATAACACTTACGCTGGGCATGTGTGCGTGCGTGCCCAAAATCTCCAGAGGAGACTGGAGAAGGAAGAATGCAGTGTGGCCATGCCCCCAGAGGAGATTTGCCACTTTTTGTGTCTCTGTATCTTTCTGGTGAGTACATGTGCCTTATAGCAAAAATCTCTCTTAAAAAATTTTTTTAAAGAATCCTACCAAGAAAATTCTATTTACTTATTGACATGACTTTTTCAACTAGTAAGTGGCTAGCTAAAAACATATTATGCAATTACTTACATGTGATGAATGTAATTTATTTTAGAAACAAAAACACAAACTGAGATTTGTTTTGAGTAACCTAGCCATTACGCCATTGGAATAAGAAATACAAGAAATAACATTAACTTACTGCAGGTGTTCCAGAAGGGAAGCCATCTTTCTCTAAATAGAAAACAGAATATAATGTTAAGTTAGTTTTCAGAAATAAAACTTTCAGGGCTAACTGGTGGCATGGTGGTAAAGGCAGCAGGATTCCACATGGCCAATTGCACTGGACTACAAAATCTGAATAATGTTGCCTAACACATGTGCATGTGCCCAAAATGCTGAAAGGAGAAACAGAGAAGTGACTATGGTTTGGCAATCTCCCACTGGCAGAAGGGGTGCAGTCTCACTTTTCTTGTCTGTCTGTCTTTGGCAAGCACATTCTCTATCAAATTTTTTTTTTCCCTGGAGAGGTTTTTGCTATTGGGTGCGTGTGCTTGCTAGAAAGACAGAAAGAGAGAAATCACCCCACCCCCCGGGAGGGATGGCCACACCACAATCCCTTCTCCTCCATTCTCCTCCCAGAATCTTGGGCACACATATGGGCCTAGCATGAGTTTTAAGCTACTGGGTCCGGGACTGGAACCACGGTCGACTACATGGGAGTCCAGTGACATAGCCATTATGCTAACTGCTGGTCCCTCTACCAAATGTTTTTTTAAAAGAATTATTTCCTTTATTTTCTTTATCATTATTGTTATTTTTAGTTTGACCAGAGCGACAGAGAAAGAGAGAAACCAAGAAAGCAAGTCGCCAGGTCCGGGACTTGAACTGTGGTCAGCCATGTGGGAGTCCAGTGTCTAACCACCACACCAACTGCCAGGCCCTCTATCAAATATTTTAAAAAAGAAGCAATGCTTTCATATGACAAAATGAAAAGAACACAGAACATGACAAATGAAATGTTTCTTCTAGATGGATTTCATTTCTTTAAACACTCATTCACTCATTCATTCATTCATTCATATATTTGCTGTGATTTTCAAGCCACTGAGTCCAGGACTTGAACCACAGTCAGCCATGTGGGAATCCAGTACCTTAACCATTGTGCCACCTGCTGGCCCCGTATCATTTCATTTTAGGCTAAATTAACTCTTGGGAAAAAACCCAAACAAACAGTATTTACACAGGCCAAATTAATGAACCTCATATCTTAATGGAACTCTTCTAAATTTACTAAAAATCACTGAACTACTTATTTTAAATGGGTGAACTTATCGCATGTAAATTACAGCTCATATTAAAATTTATCTGAAACTATACCTGTCAATTTATATTAAAACAAAACAAAATCTATTCGTAAAGATACCTTCTCCAGAAAACTGCCTACTGAGGAATCTATAGTAACCACTTAGACAATGGCAATTGTGCAAATCAAAATTCTTTTATTATTAATATTTTTGGCCATAGGGCTTGTGTGCTCGCCGGAGATACACACACACAGCAAGAGAGAGAGAGAGAAAGAGAGAGAGAGGGAGAGAAAGAGAGAGAGAGAATGAGAAAACAAGGGGGATGGCCACGCCAAAATCCCTTTGATTTTCCTCTAGAGGTTTTGGGCAGGCATGCACATACACCTGTGTGTTTTTGAAGCTGCCAGGTCTGAGACTGGACCAGTACAGTCAGCCATGTGGAATCCAGCTGCCTTAACCAATCCAACGACTGGCTGGCCCACAGTAAAGTACTTGGTTTAAGTTTTCTTTTTTCTTAAGAGAGACTTTTGCTATAGAGCGTGTGTACTCACTCACCAGAGAGCCAGAAAGCAAGAAATCACCCCCTGGGTGGATGGTCATGCTGTAACTCCTTCGCCTCTAGGGTTTTTGGGCATACACATAAACACATGCCTGGCATGAGTTTCAAGCCACCTGGTCAAGGACTAGAAACAAGGTCAGATGTGGGAGTCCAGCGACATAACTATTACACCATCTGCTGGTTTTGGTATAAGTTTTCTTTATCAATCTCTTTTTTTTTTAATTATTATTTTTTTTTGAGAGGTTTTTGCTACAGGGCGTGTGTGCTTACTAGAGAGATAGAGAGACAGAAAGTGAGAAATCACCCCCTGGGGGGAATGGCCATGCCGCAATCCGTTCTCCTCCATTCTCCTCTCGGGATCGTGGGCACACACGCACATGCCCGGTGTGAGTTTAAGCCACTGGGTCCAAGACTCGAACCACGGTCCACTACATGGGAGTCCAGCGACAGCCATGACGCCAACTGCTGGTCCCCAATTATTTAATTTTTTCATTCATTCATTATATTTTAATTTGATGAGAGAGAGAAAGTGAGAAAGCAAGCTACCAGGTCTGGGACTCAAACCATAGTTGGCCCTGTGGGAGTGTCAGCACCTTCACCACGCCACTGGCTGGACCACTTTGTCAATTTTTAAAAAAAGGTCCAAGTACTTAAAAATACACACACTATGTACACATATATGATGAAAATAATATCACTTTCTGATTAATACTGATTTTAAAAAGAACTGCCAATTTACAGACTTATTAGTTGACACACAAGTTCTAAAGACAAGTCCATCTTTTTCCTATGGATGTACTATACCAAAGCAGAGAAGTCTATTTCTTCCATGAACAATGCCTTTATTTCCGTGAGGATGCAAGCTCAACTAGTTAAAACGACATTCGTGATTTTCTCAATTGTACAGTTTAAATAAAACTGTATGTATGACTTCAGGGACAGAGACTATCAAAAGAAAATTCAACAGATACAGCAATATTGACTTTATTTATTTGTTTATTTTTTGGAGAGGTTTTTGCTATAGGGCTTGTGCGCTCGCCAGACAGAGAGACAGAGACACAGAAATTGAGAAATCACTCCCCAAGGGGGATGGTCACACCACAATCCCTTCTCCTCTATTCTCCTCTTGGGATCTTGGGCACACACGTACACATGCCCAGCATGAGTTTAAGCCACCAGATCCGGGACTCGAACTGCCATAGACTACATAGGAGTTCAGCAACATAGCCATTACGCCATCCGGTGGTCTTTGGACTTTATTTTGATCCTGACTTGAATAAACTTATTTATTTATTTATTTTGGAGAGGTTTTCGCTATAGGGCACGTGCGCTCGCCAGACAGACAGAGAGAGACATAGAGACAGAAAGTGAGAAATCATCCCCCAGAGGGGATGGTCACACCGCAATCCCTTCTCCTCCATTCTCCTCTCGGGATCTTGGGCACGCATGCACATGCGCCCGGCATGAGTTTTAAGCCATTGGGTCCGGGACGCGAACCGCGGTTGACTACATGGGAGTCCAGCGACATAGCCATTACGCTAACTGCTGGTTCCCTTGAATAAATTTATTTTTAAAGATCCACTGCACTCCAATTCTTACCTGATACTATTCCAATTCTGAGATATAATCTTTTTAGTTCTAATGCTTACGTTTAATATTTCATGAGTTTCAGTTTTTAAATAGATTTAAAACTTTTTTCTTTTTTGGAGAGGTTTATGGTACAGGGCGCGTGCACTCGTCAGAAAGACAGAGGGAGACAGAGAGCCCAGCAACACAGCTGTTACACCAACTGCTGGTCCTAATTTAAAACATTTACTTCACAGTCTGTGCACTGACAGTCGAACAGCCTTCATCAGTGCCCCACTTAAATGAACATGTTTCTAGTATTAACATCTATAAATAGCATCTTTTCCTTTTATTGCTAGAAGTCACTCAAAAGCAGGAAGGAGAAAAAAAACCACAAATAAAGGAGATGTCAAAACATCATCTTCATTTCCAGCAAAACTAATGAAATCCCTAGAATCCAAATCATGCTTCCATCAGTATGCAAAAGGCCGAGGCTATGAGGGGGTGGCAGAGACAAGAACTACCAGTTGAGGTTTTTATTTTCCCAGAAGTAATCTTCTTATTCAGCAGTGCTTCACAACTCTCTATCAGACTCAGTCTCTTATCACGGTCTGATGTCTTACCAGGAGGAGTAAAGCTCAGGTATTTCTGCTTCACCGTGTTGGAGTCGTAGAACTTCAGAACATCCAGTACGGCCTGCGGATTCTTCTTCTGCTCTAGCTTGGTGATGTTGGACGTCTGTAATAACCGAGCCCACTGCTCTGGCATGCCCTAACAGAAAGACATTCAGAAATCGGTTGAGGTCTGAATTGCTCTAATACAATCCATTTCCATAGATAAATGACAAAACACATAAAGCAAATCAATCTGCATAACTTTATGTTTGACTGAATTCTAGTTTTCTAGAGGTCTGTTCCTCTAAATCTATTTTGCATACTTATAACTAATAGGCTCAGCTCCCCAGACAGATGCATCCAACCACTAACACTTTTATAAGAACCAAAAGCAGTTAAGAAATCCCAGTTAATGTACGAACAGAAAAAGCAATTCCAAACTCCTTACTGATGGAAAAGGTTGGAGTTCCGTTCTAATGCCACCCATGAGCCCCAGTTAGGTAAACTTACAGTGAATTCTCCAGTAACAGCATCAAAGCCAACATGGATGGTGTGCTCAAAGTCGGAGGGAGGAGAAATTTCTGGGCGCTCCTTTTCTTTCTTTTTACTTCCTACAAGGCATTTAAAATAAGAATCAGCCCCTGTAAACCAGGTTAACAATGGTACTTACAGTCATGTATATTTTACGTTTTCCTAAAACAGATTAGGAACAACGTTATTCTGGAAAAGAGATTTGCCCTAGGAACACTGGTACGCAAGTGACCCACACTGCCCACAGCCGGGGTGGGGACGACTGGACAGTGCCTCTCAGAGGCACTGAGGTTGACCAGTACCCCTAATAAAAGGGCACAAGGCAGAGAGACACCCCTTTGGCTCTCTGGCTCTCTCAGAATTAAAGAGCTACACCTTAGACACTGAGCAGTCTGGAAAACAAAGGTACACCTAACCCAGTTCATCCTGCAAGGAAAGCTGACATTACCATGACTACGTAGGAGCATACTGTAAAGACAAGTCGTGTAACAAGTTTTTCCGTGGCTCCAGTGCAAATCATTGTTACGAGAGTTCTGCCACATAGCTGCTAGCCTAAGTGATTCCTTTACTTTTACCCTGTGCTAGAATCTCGTTTTTGGACCGTTTCCCTCCTCTCAGTTTATTTACCTTTTCGTTTTAACTGACATTCTTTTTAAAAAAATTATTTAACTTTATTTATCCATTTATTTATTTATTTTCATTTGACCAAAGAGGGACAGAGTGAGAGAGAGAAAGAAAGCCACCAGGCCTGAGGCTCAAATTGCGGTTGGCCATGTGGGAGTCCAGTGCCCTTAAGCGCCAGGCCACCTGCCAGTCCCTTAATTGACATCCTTGAATAACTGTATTTTCTCCTCAGAATTTCGGTATTAAGAAGGTCAATACCATTTTGATTCTCATTTTGAACACTGTGAAAATCAACTATCCTGGTGGGGCCGGGAGAAGGGAAGGAAGACACGGGTTAGGGTGAGGGGGCACAAAAAAATTTTTTTTTAAATGAAAGAAAATCAACTATCCTGGGGCCAGCAGATAGTGTAGTGGCTAAGGAGTTGGCCTCCCACACGGCCAATCTCCGTTCGAGTCCCAGATCCAGTGGCTTGAAACTCACACCAGGCGCATGTGCATGTGTGCCCAAAACCTTGAGAGGAGAACGGAGGAGAAGGGACTGCAATGTGGCTTAGTCCCCCCTCCCTGAGAGTGATTTCTCATTTTCTCTCTCTGTGTCTCCAGCAAGCACATGAGCCATGTAGCAAAAATCATGCTTAACAAAACAAATGTTTCCCAGGAAACAGGATAAACTTGAGCTTGATCGTGTAGAAGAAACGGCCCTTGGTGGCCTGCTCCCTGCCTACCTCTGCAGTCACTTCTGCTGTCCTAACGCTCTCCCTCCTGCTCTGCTTTCGGATCACACTGCCCTGCACTACGAGCTGGTGAAGGCTCGACAACCCTTCCCGCACAGGGCCCGAATGCGCTGGTCTAGGCAAGAGACACAGCACGTACTGGCGGGCATGTGGAGAAGACTCGCTCAGTCAAGTTGTCGTAAAGGGTTCCGATTTTCTTCATTTTTTTTCAATGACACCAATTAAAACCAGTAATTAATGGGGCCAGCAAGTGGTGTGGTGGTTAAGGCACTGGACATTCCCACATGGCTGACCACGGTTCAAGTTCCAGACTTGGTGGCTTCCTTTTTCACCACTCCCTACCCTCTCTGGTCAAATTAAAATAAATGAATGAATAAACAAAATTAAATAATTCTTTTTAAAAAACCGTAATTAATAACTGTGTTCTTAGAGTTTCTTTTATTTTTTTATGAAAACATTAGCTGTCTTAGTAAGAACAGAAGTCAGAGAGATAAATTTCTGAATAGAACAGAAAAGTATCTCCTAGATCAGACTTCACGGATGGTCATTATGATTTTTAAAAATATAAATATAATTCTTTCCCTTCTAGACTTCTGTTTCAGGATGAGGTACTGAGGCTTCTTCTCTGTACCAAATCCCTGTATTTCACAAAACAAGATCTATGAGCAAAGCTGAAAGATGAAAGCAGTTAGGACGAGAGAAATAACCAGCCAGCTGAGGATGGAGGTGGGAGAAGGCTACTGCGCGGGTGCAGAGGTGCTGGATGGGCTAACGGAGTGGGAACAGCTGAGCAGGTGGATGGCCCCCACACACAGGGCTCTCATTACTAACTCTGAAAGCTGGGCCACAGCGACCAGACTACGCCAGAGGTTTCAGCTATCAGGCAGGAGCAAGTAAGTGTGGAAGCCCCGTGGGAAAAGGGAGGGTAGAGCCCCAGGGATAGGAAGAATCAAGGAGCACCCGACCCTCCAAACATTCCACACATCCCTCTCACACTGGAAAGTATGCGGTCTAACCCTCCCTCCCCAGGCAGGCCACAGAGACTCCGCATGTGCGCCTCCCCCAACCCGCCCTACAAACTCAACGCAACGCTCATCAAAACATCAAGGTTTCTTTCTATAAAGTAGACAGTAAGCAGATTCTAAAATTTCTAGATTAGAGCAAAATAACCAGAAAAATCCTGAAGAACCTGGTAAAAAAGATTTGTTCTACTGGATATTAAGAATTATAGGATACAGTGATCAAGACAAAGTGGTATTAGCTTAGGTACAAATAAGCTGACGGGGTAAAATGGAAAACACAGAAAAACATACATGGAAACCTGATAAATGATGGTTACTCTTGCAGGAAGCGGGACTACAGTAGAAGAGGATTCAGTAAAATAGCGCTGGGACACTGTCCATGTTTAAGAAAAAAAGTGAAAATGGGCCTTGGCAAAGACACACAAAAATAAAATCTAGATAGCTCAAAAGATTTAAATTTTAAAAGGTAAACCGTAAAACTTTTAAAAGAAATGTAAGAAAATGTCCACGACCCCACATTGGGCCAAGAATTCTTAAAATACAAAAAACTCACAAAGGAAAGGAATTGATCAACTACATCAAAATTAGTAACTTTTTTTTATTAGAATTATTTATTTACTTTTATTCACTCATTCATTTTATTTTAATTAGACCAGAGAGAGATACAGAGAGAGGGTAAATGAGAAAGCAAGCCATCAGGTCCGGGACTCAAACTGTGGTTAGCCATGTGGGAGTGTCCAGTGCCTTAACCACCATGCCACCTGCTGCTCCCCAAAATCAGTTACTTCTAATAATCAAAACATACCACTGAAAGGGTGAAAAGGCAAAGATTATTATTAGCGTCATCTAACCAACAAAGAATTAGCATACCAATGAGAAGAAATGCTTATTAATTACTAAGAAAAAGACTCAGTAGTGGGAAAAAGAAAAAAAGGATCAAAGACCTGAAGAGACACTTGACAGAAAGCTCAGTTTCCGAGATATGTCAGTGGCGTGCACATTAAAACTACACCAAGTTGGGGCCAGCAAGTGGCATGGTGGTTAAGGGCATTGGACTCCCACATGGCTGAACACAGTTCGAGTCCCAGACCTGGCAGCTTGCTCTCACTTTCCCTCTCTCTCTCTCTCTCGCTCAGTCTCTCTCTGGTTAAATTAAAAAGAAATTAATCAATTAATTAATTAATATTCAATAAAATAAGTCCAAAAAAAAAAAATCTACACCAAGCCACCATCTCACAGCTCCCAGGTCTGAGACGCAAACCGGTCTGCCATGTGGGAGTCCAGTGCCCTTAACTAGCAGGCCACCTGCCGGTCCCATGATTTCATTGTTAAGAGATTCCAAAATAAGGCAAGAAGAAAGCTAGAAAATGGAAGCAGGCAAAGGGGCTGGAGCATCTGCGTATGTGGCTAAATAAAAAACAGATCACAGAGACCAGTAGGTGGTGTGGTGGTTAAGGCGCTGGACATTCCCACATGGCTAACCACGGTTCGAGTCCTAGACCTGGTAGCTTGCTGTCTCGCTTTCCCTCTCTCTCTCTTTCTGTGTGTCTCCCGCTGGTCAAATTAAAATAAATGAATTAACAAATAAAATTAAATAAATATTAAAAAGCAACAAACAAAAAAACAGAGAGAGACTTAAACTGTGGTTCACTACACGAGAGTTCAGTAACGTAACCATTACGCCATCTGCTGGTCCCCCTCCATAATTTTATATACTGTGCGTACACTGACACTCTTACATTTTCACACTTTAAATAAATTGACTGACTACGAAGTGATGAGGATTTAGCACTTTCGAACACACACACTTCTTCACCCTCTTGCTGTGCCTAATTTTTGGTCCACTGTCTAATCTTCCCCTTTATCTTTCATCTCACCCGGTCTATTTTTCATTCTCAAAAGTGCCAAATACACACACTATTGCTTCTGTTAAACTTAAAAAACATACTTTTATGAGGTGTTTTCAATTACATCACATGAAATCTTATTAAAGCCAACTTAGAAATAAGTGATACACAATATAATGAATGAACATGTTTTCAACGGTTTAATGATCATGTCATGTCCACAAATCTAAATTCTCCAAGACTTGATTCTTTATTAATATGAACTCATTTACACTTTTATTGACTATACATCATATAACCTCAAATTAAGTATAAAGTACCATTACATATGAAGCACCCTTCTTCCACTAGGGTTTCACCTTTGTGAAGATTTAGCAGATCTATCCTCATCTCCACTTAGCATCTGTTTTTTGTTAGCAGAGCCATATCCCCATGCTAACTGAGATAAATAAATGACTACCTTACCCTTAATCTAAAATCTGTTACTGTCTATAGTCCAATTCTGAAATCCCAAAAGCTCTAAAAACTTGTATGAAATAATTTATAGTACTTATAGCTCACTTCACATGACCAGACCACTGGTCAACTAGGGTTGATTTTCCCCTCAGGGAATATCTCGCAGTGCCCAGAGACAGTTTGGGTTGTCCCCACTGGGTGGGAGGTGCCACTGATAACTAGTGAGAACAAGCTAGGAATGCTGTTCCATACCCAGTAGTGCACAGGGGCAGATCCCTGCAATGACAATTACTTGGCCAAAAAAGGTCAACAGTGCCGAAGTTGAGAAACCCTAGACTAGACACGTCAGCACTCCGTCTACTGAGGCTGTTACAGAGCACACGGTAAAGACAGTACCACTCCCGACATCAGTAGAGCCCTGAGCTCCAAAACGGAGTTGGCTCCAGGGACTTCTGACAGGGAACTTGCGAGCCCCAGGTCACCATTCTTACAACAGCAGGTCTTCGCCAAATATTACAAACGTCCTCCATGTGCAGAAGCTGCAGCTGTGACCCAAGATCTCAGAAAATGAAGATGAGTATAAAAGCTCACTGGCCTCAACAAGTAGAACGAGCAAACACCTTTACAGTTTCACTCTTCTCCATCAGAGTTTACAAACAGCCTCTTTCACAGTGCCTGAGAATCAACGTCAGCTGTTTTCTGAGATGTTTGTTCTCACCAGAGAAGACATCGACATGGGTAACATACTACATATAAAATAAACTAATACTGAGACTCCTGAAACCACAAGAACCGGTTACCTTTCTCTGTGCCTGAGAATATGGAGATGATTTTGTTCCTGGGCTTTTTTTCTTCTGGAACAGAGGGTAAAGGTTTCAAACTGTGATTGGCTGACAAAGGGTCTTTGCCTCCAGTGCTGAAAATGGTACTGCTCATCCGCACAGGAGGTGCTGGAGGCTTGTCTTCCAGTTCTCCGTTATCAGACATGATTAAGAATTATGAAATGTCCTGAAATAGATTAAAAAATACATATATAAACAATTAGTAACAAGGTTATGGACAACCACAAAACAGTAATAACTCCCCCTTACCGCCCATCCCCACCACAATTCCAAATTAGAAAACGTTACCCATTTAGAATAGCATTTACAACACTCAGGAGAAAAAAAAGGCAGTTAGAGATGTAACTGTTTTCCAGTTAAGGTAGCAATCTCCCTTAAACGAAGTTAGTAAATGTTTGAAAAGGCAAACGAAGTGATTATGCTGACAATCAAACACTATTCACCTAATCAACGGAGCCTAAAAGATTATATCATTGAAAAGACAACATGGAGTCTTAAAAGAGCATTCCGGGGCTGGCAGGTGGCATGGTGGTTAAGGCGCTGGACTCCCACTATGGCCAACCAAAGTCAAGTTCCAGACCTGGCAGCTTGCTTTCTTGCTTTCCCTTTCTCTCTCTCTTTCTGGTCAAATTAAAATAACAGTAATAATAACAACAGTAATGCATATAAAATTAAATAAATAACTTAAAAGTTATTATTTCTTAAAAAGAAAAGAGAGACAATTCCAATGTGGAAGAATATGTCCTAACCCACTAATCAAAACATCTCTCTGGCGGGTTCAATGGATGCTTGGCTATTAAGCCTATTAACTAATAGGCTGATTTTAATCTGATTCCAGGCACACTAGCCTTATCCTTACAACTCAGCCTTCACATAAACTTTTCCTTAAGGATTCCCAAGACAGGAATCAGCAGTTGGCGTAATGGCTATGTTGCTGGACTCTCATGTAGTCGATCGTGGTTCAAGTCCCGGGCCCGGTACCTTAAATTCACACCGGGTGCGGGAGCGTGTGCGTGTGTACCCAAGATCCCAAGAGGAGAACGGAGTAGAAGGGATTGTGGCGTGGCCATCCTCCCTGAGGGAGGGGGTGTGATTTCTCGCTTTCTGTCTGTCTCTGTCTTTCTGGTGAGCGCATGTGCAGTATAGCAAAAATCTTGTCTAAAAAAACAAAAACAAACAGAAAAAGGATTCCCAAAACAATGTACCTTTGATGCAATATCTGTTCTGAAAATTTTACATTAACAATCTACTCACGTTAGTCTCTCCCGTGTCTTAAAGACAGTCACATGGAGCATCATCAGTCTCGATACACTGGCAAATTACATCCAGAACATGGCTGAGTGTGGCACTGCCCCAAGGACCTGTTACCTTCCAATGCCCTTTCCAGACAGTCAGGTAAACCTCTCTTGTCCACACGGCTAGTTGAGTGGAAACTTCAACCTTGCTTACATGTCCTTATAGGAGCATATTGTGTCTTAAAAGAGTGGATTAGGGACCAGCAGTTAGCGTAATGGCTATGTTGCTGGACTCCCATGTAGTTGACCACAGTGCAAGTCCTGGCCCCGGTGGCTTAAACTCATGCCAGGCACGTGTGCATGCATGCCTAAGATACCGAGAGGAGAATGGAGGAGAAGGGATTGCAGCGTGGCCATCCTCCCTGGGGGTGATTTCTCACATTCTATCTCTCTGTCTCTCTCTCTCTTTCTGGTAAGCACACGCCCTATAGCAAAAACCTCTCCAAAAAAAAAAAAAAAAAAGAGTGCATTATATACATTTAAAATCAGCAGTAAAAAGAAAAGGATCCTAACTTACATATGAATCCTGAAATTGAAGTATGTGTACAGAGAAAGAGTACATTTCTCCACTAAAAGTTTAGATTGGTAGCTGAATCTTAACTGAACTGTAAAGTTATTTAATGTACTTAAGTAAACAAAACTTCATATATATATACACAATGAAAATAATTTAACAGTATTTATACAAAATTTAAAACAATTTTTTTTAATTGCTAGAGGGTGCTTGTGCTCACCAGGGGGACAGGGGAGGATGAGAGAGAGAAAGCATCATTCAGAGAGGACCAACCACACGGCATCCTTTTTCCTCTAATTTCTCCAGTCCATTAGGACTTGGGGAAGGTCTGCACACGCACCGGGCTTTTTTTTTTTGGGGGGGGGGAGGTTTTTGCTATAGGGTGGGTATGCTCGCCAGACACAGAGAGACAAGAGAGACAAAAAGCGAGAAATCACCCCCCCCCCGAGGGGGGATGGCCACGCTGCAATCCCTTCTCCTCCATTCTCCTTTCGGGATCTTGGGCACTCATGCACATGCGCCTGGTGTGAGTTTAAGCTACCGGGTCCGGGACTCGAACTGTGGTCGATTACATGGGAGTCCAGCGACATAGTCATTATGCCAACTGCTGGCCCTAGCACCTGGCATATTTTTCAAGCCTGCAGAGCTGGGATTAAGATCACAGTCTGGCCACGTGGCATCCAGCTCCCGGTGCACAGTGCTTAATCACTGCATCACTGGGTTGGCCTCCAAATAAAATTTTACCTTACTTTTTATTTAGCTTGAATATTAATACCCAAAGAAAAGTGGGTATAATTCAAGTTATGTATAATTTTCTTAAAGAATCACTTATTTATTTAACTCCATTTGTTATTATTATTTTCTTTAATTTGGCCAGACAAAACAAAGAGAAAGAAAGGGAAAAAAAAAAAAGAAGGGAAAAGAGAGAAAGCAAGCCGCCAGGTCCGGGACTCAAACCGTGGTCAGCCATGTGGGAATCCAGCACCTTTAACCACTATGCCACCTCCCGGTCCCTCAAGTTATGTGTGATGTTAATGTTAAGGGGAGCTGGGTGACAGGCACACAGATCTACTATCTTAGCAACTTGTCTGTAAATCTAAACTTACTCCGAAATGAAACTTCCATTGAAAAACGAATTAACAAGTTTTTCAAAAGTTAAATATAGAGCTACCATATGACCTCGTACCATATGACCTAGTAATTCCACACTCAAGTATATAGCCAAGAAAACTGAGAACACAGAACTTACTTATGAACAGTCATAGGAGTATTCATAATAGCCAGAAGATAGGAACCACCGAGTGTATGTCGACTGCCGAATGAATAAAGCGTGGCATATCCTTACAAGGCAATACTGTTTGACCAAAAAAACCGAGTGAAGTACTGATACACGCTACAACATGGATGAACCTTGCAAATGTAAGTAGAAAAAAGACAGATATGAAAAGCAATGTATTTTATGTTCCACTTACATGGAATGTCCAGGACAAGCAAATCCATATAGAAAGTAGTTCAGCTCATAAAAACGGCTGACTCAGTGTTTGCTGGGGAAAGGGGGGATGGGCTGTGACCGCTAATTGGGTATAATTAGGTACAGAGTCCTCCGGGGGAATGAAAATGCTTCAGCATTAAGACCATGGTGATGACTGTACAACCTTCTAAAATACTAAAACCACGGAAAGGAATACTTTGAAAAGGGTAAATTTCAAGCTATATGAATTATTTATCAATAAAAATTTCTATCTCCTTCATAGATCAAAGATTAGGTAAACTAGTAAAGATTAAAAACTACGGCTATTGCTATTACCATCAGTATTTACCAATTTCTATCCCAGACACTGGAGGAAATAAGAGATGACCTAAGGCTTCTCCGAGAGTTCACGATCTAGTAGGAAAAATCAGTACACGGTTTGCCGAAGTTAGGTAGGGCAGGTCTGTTCTCAACACAGGCCTATTAAAGCACTTAGTCTCTTCCAAACAGTAAGCAGTTCTCCAAACATTCTGGCCTTAAGTCCTCTTTACGCTCAAAAACTGGGAGGTCACAGAATCTGTCCTTATGAGGCTTATATCTATATTTACTATGTGAGAAATTAAGATAAGTTATTTAATATTTAACTCATTTAAAAATAACACTAATAAGGGATGGCCCCATAATCTAGTGGTTAAGGGAACTGGATCCCACATGGTCGACCGCCACTTACATGGAATGTCCAGGACAAGCAAATCCATATAGAAAGTAGTTCAGCTCATAAAAACGGCTGACTCAGTGTTTGCTGGGGAAAGGGGGGATGGGCTGTGACCGCTAATTGGGTATAATTAGGTACAGAGTCCTCCGGGGGAATGAAAATGCTTCAGCATTAAGACCATGGTGATGACTGTACAACCTTCTAAAATACTAAAACCACGGAAAGGAATACTTTGAAAAGGGTAAATTTCAAGCTATATGAATTATTTATCAATAAAAATTTCTATCTCCTTCATAGATCAAAGATTAGGTAAACTAGTAAAGATTAAAAACTACGGCTATTGCTATTACCATCAGTATTTACCAATTTCTATCCCAGACACTGGAGGAAATAAGAGATGACCTAAGGCTTCTCCGAGAGTTCACGATCTAGTAGGAAAAATCAGTACACGGTTTGCCGAAGTTAGGTAGGGCAGGTCTGTTCTCAACACAGGCCTATTAAAGCACTTAGTCTCTTCCAAACAGTAAGCAGTTCTCCAAACATTCTGGCCTTAAGTCCTCTTTACGCTCAAAAACTGGGAGGTCACAGAATCTGTCCTTATGAGGCTTATATCTATATTTACTATGTGAGAAATTAAGATAAGTTATTTAATATTTAACTCATTTAAAAATAACACTAATAAGGGATGGCCCCATAATCTAGTGGTTAAGGGAACTGGATCCCACATGGTCGACCGTGGTTCAAATCCCAGCCCTGCTGGCTTGAAACACACACCGGGCTCATATGTGTGCATGCCCCATATCCGGACAAGCCGGAGATGGGGAGGGGAAGGGAGAGACAGGAGGCAGAGGGAGCATCGCCTTGCCTCATTCAAGGGCGCTTTCTCGCCCTCTCTGGCAACACACGCACTCTGTGGTGAAACCAAAACAAAACCACCAGTAATAAGCCCACTACATATTAACATAAACATTTTTATTTACAATAACTATTTTCCACAACAAAATAATTTAGCAAGAAGACTGGCATTATTTTACATTTCAGCAAATCTGTTTCATGTCTGGCTTAGAAGGTAGCTGTTTCTGCATTCGATTTCTATTTAATTCCTAGTGCCATGTTGTTTTAGCTGAAGTTTATGAAAAATATCTGGTTTTACAGATACATAGCTGAAAAA